TGAAATTAAAGCGTGAAGTGCTGCGAAAATATACTACAAATCAAGCAATAATGTTTTTATTTATCTTTAAATGAAATAAACTCACCATTAAAGAGTTCCTCATACTTGTACATTCTTTCCAATATTAGTATACTGAAAATTAGAATAATGCTTAGGCAGCAGTATTTATTCTTTAAGCAAACTACAACTCGTTCTATAAGCGGTTTCGCCATTTAATATTTTTTTTTAGTTTTTCTTATTTAAAATTAAAATAAAATTGCAAAAAATACTTCTTTTTCGAAGAGTTTATGAATTTTATTTGCGCGAAAATTAACAATTTGTCTTTAAATTAAATTAAATGAAATAGAATGTTTTAAGTTTATGTAAAAAGTAATTCTTGAATAAAATAAAAACTAGTTTTATAACTTGCCAATTGTCTCAGTTTCTAGAGTTTTAATGGTAAATAAGTTAAAAATTATCATAATATATTTTTTTGCACGTCCAAGTATTCATTTATTTATTATATATATATTTTTTTATTTTTGTCTTTTTTTTTTGTAGAAGAAAAAATATTTTGGGGCTTTGGAAATATAATAAGCAAAAAGTTATTTGAATTTGTAAGTGTAAGTTTGTAAAATATTATTTTTTCCTCATTTTTCTGAATTTTCTGATTTTAAAGTGGCGGCTTCAGAAGTGTTTCTTAAAAAAATAATAATAATTTTATAAAAAAAATAATAATAATTTTATAAAAAAAAATGTAGTTTTGTAGAAAAAAAAAAACAATTTCTTAAAAATATTGATTTCTAAAAACAGGCGATTCTTCTAGTGCAAGAGAGTCAAAATCCCACACGTGCTTTGAAATTTTTTAAAACACATTATTTCACAACAATCCTTGATAAATTTTAAGCTTTTCTTTGAAGAACTAATATTTGCTAGAGCTCTTAATGGCACATTTCCACCAGCTGTCTCAAGCCCTGATAAATATATTATCTAGTGCTTAGCTTTATTATATATTTACTTTCTCTGTTCTTTTTTTAGCTGAACGAAAACACGTGCTTTTGTTATACTTTAAAAGCTTTTACAAACACCCAAAAATACCGAGTAAATCCAAAATTTTTAGTTTTTTGGTGACTTTTTAACTAGATATTAAAACAATAAATTGCTTTTAAGTGAAGTGCCGAAAACGTTTATGAGCCTAAAATAATCAATATTTTTCCATTTACAGGCACCACGGCGTATGAGTTATTTATTTAATTCAAAAGTGTTTTAAGGAGAGCTTTTAAAGCTTTTTGAGTCGAATTTGTAAATATAAAATTTAAATGTAGTTGTAAAAGTGATATTTGTATTAGACAAAGCGTAATGGTTTAGTTTTGTTTAAAAATTAAAAAATATTTTAATTTTAATTATTATTTTGTTTTTCATTTTTAAGCTCCTGCATTTATAATTTTTTACCTTTACTAAATTGGTTTTCGCACATTCAACTGACTGCTTAGTTCGACTACATAACAATACATATAATGCGTGTAATGAAGGTATTTGTAAATTTCTGTGAAAAATTAATTTCTTTTGAATTTCAAATAAATTTTAGTAGAAAACATGGCATAACAATAAAAAAAAATTAACCGGAAGCGCTAGATCTTGTTTCTGCAGATATTGTTTTAGATTTCATTTCGTTTTGGGAGTCACACTGTTTTTAACAAACAAAAAACACCTTTTGGAAACAAAACAAACACTTTTTGAAACACAAAACAAACACTTTTTCAACAGAAAAAAACACTTTTTGGAACAAAAAAGCACAGAAAAATGGACTGAATTAATTTGTTAACACAATTTTTTGATTTAAAACTATATATATTGAGTGTATACATATATGCATTTCGTACTAATTATTTTTATTAAATTTAATATAGAAAAAATAATAAAGCTTTCACCTACCTACATTTCACCCACTTTCTTTGTATCTGAGTATGTATGCTGTGAAAGCAGCTGGGCATGCTTTTTTATTTCTTTTAAAGAAATAGTCATAATAATATTATATTTTAGATATTTTATTTTTAATTTAAAAAACAAAAACAAAAATCAAAAAAAAGATTTCTAAAAAACCATTTTAAGCTACTTAAAAAAAAAGCTCACAACTGTGCTGTTGAAAGCTGTAGTGACGTTGATTTTTTTTTTATTAAAATGTGTTGTTGCTTATTCTACATATTTTTCAAAGCAATCATGCATGCAATTATTCGAGTTTTTATTATCTTTTTGTTTTAATTTAAATAATATATTTAGTGTTACTTATCTGGCAAATTTCCTTTTCATCAAGTCCTACTGCTTCCGCCAATCACGCACGCTTGCATTGAAGTATTTATTTGGATATATGTATGTATGTATTTTTTCTTCTTTTAATTTATTCTTTGTTTTTTTTTTGTAATACTAATACTACTAACTACTACAAAAATTAGTTAACAATTAATAACTACGTCTTTTTTCTTTTCATTAAACAATAAATTATGAATTGAACTAACTAAATGAAATTAAGTGTGTATGTATGACAATAAATATATAAATTTCCGAAAAAAATATATTAAAAAATATTTAAAATCTCTAAAAAAGAGAACAAATTTACATTAACAATGCTTAAGAGGTAATTAATACTACAAACTTTTACGTTAACAAATCGCACATAATTATTCGAAATTATAATTAAAATTAAATAAATTTAAGTAAAACAATTCAATTAACTAATTCTAAAAATACGTTTTTTATGTATTTAGCAACTATGAAGTGATCAGAAGTTATAATTTATAGTTTATAGAGGGAAAAAATCTCTTCGGGATTCAAAGAGCACAAAGTGTATGGTGTTAAGTGGTGTTACGAGTGGGGGAGGGAGAGATTAAATCGAGCGTGTAGCATAACAATGCACGAGTATGTATGTACTATGTACGCATATGTATTTATGTATCAATGTCTTAAATATGTATGTATTTATTGTATTTAAATTAATTGTAAATTTACATATACATATGTATGCATGTATGTATGTATTTAGGTATGTCTTTCTTGGACCTTTCCGATGTGTTGTAAAAAATGTAAAAGTTTACAACCAGCAGCGCATCCCACGGGAGTTTTTAATGTAAATTTTGGTGCAAAAACTCAACAGAAGTAAGATCGAATATTTTAAAATAAATTAAAGCGTTGTGTTTTGTTGTTGTTTTTAAAGCAATTTAATTCATAATTTTCTCAATTTTTCTCAAAAAATAAATAAAATGAAATAATGCTAAACATTTTTTTCCACTTTTTATTAAACTTTCTTGCTTGAGAAGCTAGCCAACAAGGTTTCAAGATCGGACCAAACTCTATGGCACAGATGTTCCATATCCCGACAATGAAGATGTTGGCATAACAATCGCCCGCTTTAAAAAGAGAAAAAAAAACGGGGTGGTCGTTGGTTGTTGGATTTCCGGCCGAGCTATGAACTGATAAGGTGCATGCCTCTTTGCGGAAATTGTCGAGCAGTTAGCAGTGAATGCTACCATGTGGAGGTTCACAGGTTCCAACACTGAACAGGTCAAAATATAAAATTATAGCAACAAAAAAAATTATTTGCAGTCGTTCCTGGGCGGGTATTGGCAAGAAATCCAAGTGTATTTCGTCAATAAAAGCCAGCAGCCCTTCGGACTCAACTGAAAATCGCAGTACAAATCGCTGTGCTTAATCTTTGTGTACCCGCTCCAACTGATTCTCGGTTGAGATGTATGAGCAGTATGACTGAGAGCTTCGAAATGTACAAAGTTGGTTCAAAATTTGGTTAAGTGTGCAGAGGTCGAGTTTTCTCAAGCCACCGGACCATTTTTTCACTGTACTCTAGGCAGAAAACTCCTGTATAATGGGAGTTGCAAAACATATTGGAACCGAATATTCACGTAGACAAGCTAATATCAGAAGGAACACAATATATCATGAGAACGATGCGAGTTGTTTTCGTTAAAAAATCGAACATCAGTTGACTAAAGGGGATCACGTGGCAGATATGATCAACGTTGGACGCATTTTACTCTTCTAGACCAGTGCTCTAATAGTATAAAAACAAATGTAATAATAGGATAATGTTTATTCACAGATCACTTACGAAGATGGCTGAGTAAAAGTGATTAACCCTTGTTTGATTCCTTGGTCACAATGGCATAGCGTGAAATTGCAAAGCAGCATACTGGGTTATTAGGCATAGTACCTGTTGGGTCGTTTTGTGTCTAAATTAAATGAATGTTTGGACCGAAGAAGGTCGTGATAAATGTGAAAAATTCGAAAATTTTAATGAAAATTGGACCCCTGGTGGTTCGTTTCTGTATAAGACGGCACGCAGACGCAGGAGAAACAATGAGGGGAAGGAGATCATCTTCCATTGAAATGAGTGAAGTGAAGATGTAAGCTTGACATCCAGTGGCTTTCATGTTTAGTCTTTGCCGCGTGGAAGAAATTATAGTAAGCGACCTATTTTAGTTCATAAGACAGTCCAAGTAATTTGAAAAAATGCTTTAGGCTAGAACAATTTTTTTGGTAGGCCTATTTTGGCCTAAATTTGTAGATTTTCAAAAATCGCCCACAGCTTCTAATTAACCTGACCAAAGTGTTCTTTTCTCTACTGGTCGGCTGATGCGCCTTACATAGACCCGTTGGTGCCTTGTAGTACTAATTAAAATTGGTTGGAAAAAGTTCAATCAACGAGTTTTTACACAAGTTTCTTTTTAGTTTGAAGCAAATAAAATTTTTATATATTAAAATCGAGATTCTCGCTTATTGAATATTTATTTGGATTAAATTTTAAAATTAATAATTTTTTGATTGGTGATAAGAATTTTTTTGAGTCATTATTAAATAATTATTAAATAAAAAAAAAATTATCTTCTAAATAAATAAATTTAAATTGATTAAAATACTACTTTTTTAAAAAAAATTCAATTTGCTTCAACTTCTTTCTCTCACTGAAGGGATGCACTACCGCTGTAACTCAATGTTTATTTTCAAATTTTTTTTTTTGTTGTGTGTTGGAAACGGAATTGAGGGGTGGGGGCCTTCGCTCTATCTTTGAACGATTTGTGTAGATACATCAGTTGTTGTTGTATGTGGGCATGCAATGACCGGTTTTAAGTGTACTACTGGTTGTTTGGTTGCTTGCTTATTCGGTTGATAAAAGTGAAAAGTTTCTGCTTGTTTAAAAAATGTCACATGCACTTGCTGTTGTTCTTGTTGTTGTTGTTGTTGTAGTTGTTGCTGTTGTTCTTTATTTATATAACAAAGTTGGTTTTGTATTTGTTTTTGTTTATGTTTATCAAATTGATATTGAAGTTGGAGTTGGACTTGCATTTGATTGGTTGTGATAATAGTTGTTGTTGCGGTTGTATGTTGTGATTGTTTTGATTTTGATATTGGTTTTTGGTTTTGTATCTGGTATTGTTTATGGTTTTGTTTTTGTATTTTTTGATTATCAATTTGTTTATGTTTATGTTTTTGTTTTTGTTTATGCATTTGCAATTGTCGAACGAAAAATTGCATTTGCGCACGAATTTGTATTTGATTGAGTAAATATAGTATGAATGAGAGCGCTGAGATCATGATGTAATGGTATGATGAACCATTTTGCAATAAATTTTTACTAGAATTGCACATATCTTCCTCACAAAAGCACATATGTCCATTGCCTGAACTTTCCATCATGCACACATGATCGACCATAAATAAATTTATTTGCAATTGCGACGTACACATACGTCGTACAACTTCGTAGGCTATATACACGCGTGTATACATACATATATATATATATACACGTGGGGGTGTGTGTACGTGTGTATGTAAATGGGAGAGGCGTGGGAAAGTTAAAGAAAAAAGAGTGTATTATTTTATTAGTATCATAAAAAATATGTAAATTTTTTAAATTGCTTACAGCTACTGTAAAACCGCTAAAATTGTTTTAATATATATATATTAATGTTCGTTATTGATAACGGATATATATGGTACACCTATAACCGCGCTCGTTAATACAACAGAAATATATGACACAGCAACAGTCACGACTGTTAGCAAGTAACAGCAATTCTGTTCAAACAACAGCTACTGCTAATTTGACAGTCAACTGTAAACCATCTGTTAAATTAACAGATAAATCGTTTGGCTGTGATTTAAATGTGAAATCTGTTACTACAACCTGTAATCTAGTTAATATACAAGACTTGTCTTCTCCGTATGTACATTTACCAGTATTTCTTTTAGCTTTTAGCTGTATATATATACATACATATGTATATAAAGCAAAGGGAGAAATATCGCACATCATTAACGACTTACGTGATTTCGAATGCCGCACCATTTTCACACAACAGCCATTGCAGGTCATCAGCGGTGGTTGATCGCGTGGCAACGCTGTGTAGTTGAAGGGATCCTTACAGCGTGCATCCGTCCACGAATCGCATTCATAGCAATAAATCGAGCGTGCTGCACGTGGTGTGTGTTTTCAGATGTTTTATATAAAAAATAGTATTAGTAAAAATATTGGAAAAAATTTTCAATGAAATCATAAGTTTTTTTGATTTTGAAATAAATAATTGTTTGGCAATATTTGCTTGAAAATTGTGCAAAACATACATGTTCATAAATATGTACATATGTACAAGTTTTTGCGTTGCAACAACAACTACGAAATTATAATTATAAGTTAGTGCGAAAAAAAAATCGGAAAAGCAAGGCAGAAATTAAACTAAGGACTATAGATATTCTACATTACATGCTACCAACATACATGTATAATATACCTACATATATACAATTATATACATAGGGATGTTTACATTTTTTAATTTTTTTCCACGCCTAAATGTATGCCGAGTAATCTGATATCTCCTTCGACCTTTTGTACTCTGAGGTTAACGACTTTATAAAGTAATTTAAATATCACAATATTTAATAATAAAAAATAATATATTTTTTAAACAATTGAAGTATGAATGACCTACTCCAAACTAAATTAATTTAAAATTAAAAATAATTTTTTTTTTTGTCCAATACATCCAACCGAAATGTCCAGGCTCGTTACACAAAGATGGCGCTAGTTTTATTGAATATTTACCGATTTTTCAGTTGGTAGTTACTTTCCCAAAGAATGCTGTTAAAATTCCATGATATTCTAATCATAAATTTTTGAATTATCGTGCTAATAAGAACACCATTTGTATTATTAGATCAAAAACTATTTCGTGTTTCAAACAGAAAGAATAATAAAACTTCGATTTACTGACATCAAACGTGGTCGTAGAGCCACCGGTGAGGTAGAAAGCAGGGCACGCTTAAACTGTTAACAAAGGAGAGTTTTATCAGCCAATATCTCTCTTTTGCGCAGTAGCGTAGACGATTGTAACCTTGCTGTTCCCGTCCTTTATACACCATCTGAGTCCAGCAACACATCAGCATGGCTTCCATACCACAACCGTACTTAAGGCCATAATCAGTCAGATATTTTATGACCCCAATCAAAACCAGCACTTTTTTACAATCTATATGCTGGGACGTTACCGTCGGGAGCATCCCAACAGACTTCATACGGGCGGCATACCGGCTACGTTTGGGGGTTAGAGATCAAGAATTTGACAATTGTGAGACATGCCTGACCTAAGAGGTGACTAAAATCCAATAGTTCCCTGGTCTTTATACCAGATCGACCAGAATTTTGATTCGGCAACGCGGAAAACCAAGTTGGCAAATATTTTTGCGGCTACTACTACAACAAAAACAACAACAACACGGTGCACCGGCGGTCCTTAAACACTTCTCTTCCTGTGAATGGCGTTCCCGAAACCCTAGTACCACCTATTGCTAATGTGGATGTTCGCAGACCTCAAAAAAAAAATGCTCACTCATGCTGAGAGGTTATTGCTGACACTAAGCTAATCGTTTTAAAAAATTTTAGAGCTAAGTGATTCTCTGTCTCTTCATAGCGAATAGCGAGTACGTTGATAAATAAAGCCGCAACTCCCACGAGAGCCAGTTTTACGCACCAGAGTTGATCCTGATTTAATCCAGCCAAAGGCGGGTAACGGCCATTTAACACCGTTTAGGCCAACCGGTAACATTAGGTCTTGAATAAAGGCAATTTTTAACAAACAAACAAAACGTGTTTACTATGTAAGGCCTGGGGCTTTTCAGCCTAAATGTTATGTAACAAGCTCTTAGGCTAGTTCCAGGGTAGGAACAAAATCACAACTATACAATACTTATTTTTTTCCAAAATATATACATATATATATAAAGCAAATGTACAATATTTATTATTCTTAAATATATATATATATGAATTCATCTAAGTCTAAAAAATTAATATATTTTCTATTAAAAATGGAAAAATCCTAAATCCATATCCTAACGTCAAAGGCATGAGCTGACTTTTAAGGTTGCTCTTTGTTTACATTTTTTTTCTAGAATTTTTTAATATACAGTATGTCAATAAATTGTTTGCTAAATGAAAAAAATCAAACAAATTAATTTTTAAACTTGATTTTTATTAACTAAAACAATTTTCTTTAACTTTTTTTTTAGATAATATTAATCTAAGTAATCTTAACATAAATAATGGAAGAAAATTCCTGAATTAAAGACATAAATGTAAGAGAGATATAAAATTTCAAAAGACGGCAAATATTATGGTGTCAATTAATTGTTTGCATTTTGTAAACAATTATTGCAAATTAGGAAAGGAAAGTAGAATGTCAGAAGCTACTATCACAACAGACAGCCACGTATATGGATATGAGAGCGGCATTTGAAGTTTCCTACCCAAAACCGCCAACGAGAAAAAAATCTAATATGTTGCAGCTTGTCACTCTCAGCACTGTAATCGGAGAGCGTAAGTGGTTGGCCAAAGTAGGTTGTAGAGTTAAGAACCTGAACCTCTTGGTAGCGACTTAAAAAAGAGACTTTTCGACGACTCCAGCTTCTTGCAAATAGAACAAACTGCGATAAGGTTAGCCGCTTAGCTGCGCACTGGCAATACCGTAACGCAACCTATTAGAAAATATTCTGGCAGTCAGACTGTCATTAAGTCACTCCAATGAAATCATATCAGCTTTAAGATCGAAATAAGATGATTGTCATGCAGAACTTGCACCGATAAGCATCATTAATCACCTGAATTTCATAAAATACACGAAGTGGTTTGGTCAACTAGAAAGGGGCCGGGAATCTCCTTCACATCCCCAACATAGGTAGCATAACAGGCCAATAGGTCTAAGTGCGCTTCATCAGTGTACTGTGATCGAGCAACCTTTTTAACTAACTAAAAAAGTTTTGGGCCGCCTAAATTAATGGAATAACGAACGTTTTATTTCATGTAAGAAATACTCGGATGAGTTGATATGCCCTGCTGAGTGGAACTTTTTCTACGTCTCAAACTTATGGTTTATTAAAATTTCTATATATGTATATTCATAAATATCTTTAAAATATTTATTAAAATGTCTTATTTAATAAAATGTTTTAAAATCAAGCTTTTTTCACTAAGATTAACGGCAAACTCGGCATGCAACTGGAAAATCTCGCACAAACGTGAAAAATACATTCTTAAAAGCAACGGAAACAGTTAATGAAAAAGGTGGTAATAATTAAGGTGATAATGCACACGAAAATTTAACATTTATTGAAAAAAAGCTCACAATGCAAATGCGCATGAAAGCTGTTAAGTACGGTGTGGTGCTACATACATGTATGCGTTTATGGCATAACAGTTTAAGTTTAAGCGTCTGAACAGTAAGAAAACATAATTTTTGATACTTCGATTCGAGAAGCCTTTTCAAAATTTTAAAGAATTCTTTAATAAAACGTAAATATTATCAGAAAACTAAAGGAAATATATAAATTAAATTATATTTATTTATTATATTTTTTCCACAAAAAACACACTCCGGTAACAACTTTTTGCTCTTATTCTGAATTTCAGTTATTTTTTTGAGCGCTTTAGAGATTACACTGGTAAACACTGCTATATCACATGAACTTTTTGATATATTTTCTTTATCTATAATTATTTTCTTTCAATGCCAACCAGTTTATGTTTGTGTGACACCCAAATATCTCTGCCGACCTTATAGTATATATACATTACTTTGTCTGAATGTAATTTAGGCGCTCTAGCAGCCCCGACAAATTCTGTTACTCGTTTGTGTGTGGAGATTAACATTTAAATCTCACCGTCGAAATTTGACATCATTAATTCAGCAGTGCTCTTTAGAGTCTTTAGGCTTTCTTGTGGGTGATCGAGCTAAGTCCTAGGATCCCCATAAATGATGTGTAACATGTGTGGGACTTCTAATAGGCTTGGCTTACATATAACCTAGTTACTTGCCAAATGCTATACCAATGATTTGGATGGAACCAAAGGATCACATAAGTGACTTTTATCTTTATTTGAGACTAATAAAAGGAACTTCAATCAGGTCAAAAGACCAAACCTACATAGTGCCAACCTGCTTTTGTAAAAACCTCCAAATCGATCAGAAAGTACAGATTTTATTGAGGAATTTGTCCAACGACAAAGTCAGTACGATACGGTATCTCAGGATGAAATATAATTGACATCTTGTAACTGCTGAAGCGATTTTCAGCCAAGCTCCCCCTATACGTCTTGATGTTTTCCAACAAATGGAGCGAACGGCCGAAAGATTTTTAAGAGTAGCTTTTTTATTTTATATCTGAAATGCACTCCGAGGTCTTGACTTTTGACTTGAACCTTTGTTGTCAGAATGACAGCACGCAATGCTAACCGCTTGGCTATTGCGGCCGAACTTCGGTAAAAAACGCAGTAGTGTTTTGTGAATATTGCCCAGAACTTTCTTGGAAACTATTATCCTGATACTGTAACAATCAATTGTGCACAATCGTTTCGGCTATTTTAAAGCAAAGCCAGTAAAGTAAGTAAGTAATTTTAAGGCAAAAGATGCTCCACGGTGTGGGAGGTCCATTGCTGAAAATGTTGACAAAACAATGGAAATCGTCGAGCAAGAGCGTCTGACTGCACTGTCGACTGCCCAGGCTGGATACACAAGAGTGCTCGATGTAAGAGTGCCACCTGAGTTAACGAGAAAGAACCTCATGCACGGCATTTTCATCTGCGAACCGCTGCTGAATCGGAACATAATCGAACCATTCCCACAGCGCATGGTGACTGGTGATTAAAAGTGAATCATAACAGCATCAAATTCAAAAAGACTCGGTCGAAGAGAAGTGAGAAAACTGAAGAAAACTGTATCCAAGCCGGCATCGACTACTTGGAAGGTTTTGTTGTGTGTTTAGGGGATTTGACAAGGAATTATCCACTATGAGCCGTTCCGCTATGGCCAAACTCTTAATTCGGATCTGTATTGTCAGTGATTGAACCGTTTGATGGAGACAATCGTCCAGAAGCGTCTAGCTTTGTCCAACAGGAGAGCCATTGTGTGTATTTAGGACAATGCCAGTGACCACGCTACGATAGATAATCGCCAGAATCTCTGAGAGCTTGGTTGGGAGGTTCATATGCATTCACTTTATAGACTTGACTCTGCAGCAAGTGATTACCATCGGTGCTTGTCTATGGCGAAAGATTTAGCTGGTGAAGAAACGGTCTCAAGAGAAGATTATGAAAATCGATTGTTCCAATTTTTCGTCAATAGGGATAAGAGAGTCATGATGGCATGAATGGCATAATGAATAATCTGTTAGTTGACCTTAAAATTACGAGTAAATATACTGGAATCTCATTTCGGTTTCTTTCCGGGATATTTGACTGCTGCAAGTGAAGAACAATGTGAGAGATTCCATCAGAATATTTCCTTTATGGAAAAGCGTAATTAAGGGAAGAGCAGTTCAGAAATGCTAGCAGATTATTGCTGAGCAAGAAGGGGCTAGCGAAAAGTCAAATAGACACGGGGATTCTAGGCATTTATTGTAAGTCAAGCAATAAAATTTTCTCAAGTGCAGATTTTTGTATTTTTCTGAAAAAATATTTTTGGATGTCACAATAAAATCGGATGCGTAGATATTTTGCTTTTGATACATTTTGTTTGGTGCTTTGAATGTATTTTTCAAAACGTCAATAAGTTTTTATGTGACCATAAAAAGCCTCAAATTTGTTGACCAGTGTTATCAATTGAACTACAATTTCATACACAGTCGAAGAGTATAAAAATAATTGTATGGCAAAAAAAAAGAGATATAAAATTGACTATTATTTCAAAATGTGCTTTAAACAGGCATATAGACGAATATTATCGAAATAAAAAATATATATGTAAGTAATTTAAATAAAGCAAAATTAATGACAGAACGAACAATATAATCGCATGCCACGAAAAAAGAATATGGGAAATATTAGTATGTGTGTGTGTGTGTGAAATTGTAGTTTCTTTTAATAGCATTATGATAATTGAATGATATATATGTACGAGTATGTTATATGTATTGGAAGCAAAAAAATGGGTTTCCACTTATTATTTAAGCATTTCAGCGACTTATGTATTTGTAAGCCTTATGGAAAAGGGCAAAACCAATGCATTTAATTCACACTTAGTAAAGCACACATAATTAAAATGTAATTGTCTGCATGTATGTATGTAAGAGTGTCTTGGCATACAGTGTAGTTGCGCTAATTCGGTTTCTTTCTGCTGTAATCCGGATAGGGTTGGGTTAAAAAAATCAAAATTTCTCCAAAAGTTCTCTCCAATCCGAATCTAATATGATATTTATTATTCACAAATTTGTTTCTCAAATTCACAGGCTTTAGCCAAAATTAATTAAGGGATTTTTTCAATAAGTTTTAATTTTTTTAGTAACTTTTTTCAGTGGTGAAGCTCAGTTTTGGCTGATTGGGTACGTTAATAAGCAAAATTGTTGCGTTTGGAGTGATGATTACCCACAAATCAAAAATGGAGATACCGTTACATCTTCAAAAGGTCACTGTTTTATGTGCTCTATGTGCAGTGGGAATAATTAGTCCACATTTCTTCAAAATAAATATGAAACCGGCCTTAATGTTCCAGTCAACAAGGAACGCTATAGAGCCAGGATTCATGACTTTTTCGTCTGCCTGTATTGGAGAATGTTGATAAGGAAGACCTTTGGTTCCAACAAAACAGCCAACGAAGAAATCAAATTGTTGAAGGAAATATTTGGTTGTGTCTCGCGTCGTGGACCTGTAGCGCGGCCCCTAAAATCGTGCTATTTAACACCGTTGGACTATTTTTTGTGGGGTTATTTGATGTCGCATGTTTACGCAAGATAAGCACGATACGCTTGACGTCTTGACTTCAAAAAGTGGTCAAGAATATGATCTTACTGTTGGCATTCATTTGAACCAACCCGGAAATCAATTTTTCTTGAAAAACACATGTCTAAAAAACACCCTTTAATCTTTGTTTTTAAACTTTTACAAATGTTTTTTGTTTCTGATTTGGTCACCCAAACTCCTTCACAGGCCGGGCTGATTTTAATTGTTCCGTATTAGCGGTACTTCACTGTATACATAAATGTGAACATAAAAACTTAAATGTGTATAAATAAATATATGAAATATTTTTATTATAACACGAAAAGCTTTAACATTTATTATTTCTTGCGTTTGGTATTATTTTTATATAATTTTTTTTTTTCTCTTTTTTTTTTTTTTGAGACCAAAATATACTATTTTGTTTCTCTTTTTTTTTTTTTGCAATGAAAATATTTATATTTAGAAAAAATACAATTATTTTAATTGAATTTAATTATATTTGCTTTTTTTGTCGCATAAAGAAATAAAAGAGCGGTAATTTTAATTGAAAAAGTTATACATTTGTTTTGTTTTGACGTAAGGAAAGGTTAAAAAAGTGACATTTGCTTGAGGCGTGAATTCATACTTTGACATTCAGCTGACACTTGTGGAATCCAAATGAAAATGAGAACTCCAAATGCCGCTGTAAAGAGTAGAAGAGAAGAAGAAAGACAAATATTTTTTCGTTTTTTTATGGTTGTTTTGTGTTTTTTTCTTTTTTTTTTGTCATTCGTATGGAAAGGAAATAAATTAAATAAAATTGCGAATTTTTAATAAAATATTATTATTAACCTTAAAATAATACAAATTAATATTTTTGTCGCAATTCAAATTGAGGTACATATCGGAGAGAGGGTATCGAGTAGTGTGAGCTGCTCCGATACTTGTTGGTTGCTCAACTGCTGAAATGTTTAAATGATTTTTTTTTTTCAATTTTCAATTATTTTTTGCCAAAATTTTTCTTGATTTTTTCAATGACTTTTACACTTTGCATAAAATATAAAAGGAAAAAAATTCTAGAAGAGTGTGAAATTTTTTGTTCAAAATGCTCGAAAAAAACATATTGCTTTCCTATTATTATTATCACCAGTTTGAAGTAATATTTTTTGCCGAAATTTCGTAATAAAGTTTATTACCTCGAGTTTCGTAAGAATTTCGCTTTTTGAAAAGAAGATCTGCGACTTTTTGTTTGAAGCTTGTAGAGGAAAAAACATTATTTTTTATTAATGTTTAATAAATAAGTCGAACTCCTCCTCTATTTTATGTCAATTTAGGGAAGGACCTATAATTTATTATTTATTATTTTTTGAAGAGCTTTAATTTCATGGCAGAAATACATTCGCCTCGAGCGACCGGAGTAAGAAAAACTCGATTTTTTTTTTTTAAGAAAAATTCTCCCATGAAGAAGGTGCCTGGTAGAATCTTAACTGACACAAAGACTTCATTGTAATGTAAAACAATTTTGCGAGTTAAAAGAACCTGAGGTGAAGGAGAGCAGATCAACCTGTCTTCAAATTGAGCATATTGAGATTTTAGCCAATGGAATTAGCCTTGGAAATAGGGAGTATAAGAATCTTCTTTCACTGTCAAAAATTTTCAGTTTGCAACGGTTGCAAGCTTGTGAGTTATTCAAATTATGCATCGGTTAATGAAGTGTATCGAGAACTGCTTCCCCATGCGGGTTATGGGTTCAAGAATTTACCCGCGGTAAGGCATGCCTGTCGTAAGAGGCGACTAAAATCCACTTGTTCCCGTGACAGTCGGATCTTTATGCCGGAACGAACCGGATTTTTATCCGGTCAAGGACTGTCACTTCCGTAACATTCCCCAAAAAGTACTTTGGGTATATTTTTCGGTCACAACAACAACAACAACAACAACAAGAACTTCTTCCATTTTATGGTCAGTTTGGACATCTTTCTAAAGTGTCTATTCCGAACATTGAGACTAAATTCCGTACCAAATTCAAATTATCGGACATTAAACTACCAGCCGGATGTGTATACGTAAAGTGCAATAGAGGAAATTTCGCAGCTGAATCCGTGGCAAATTTTGCGAAAGGATTTGGGGTGTAAAACATTTTAAACTACCCCAGCTGCGAGAATTAAGGTCACACGATCTAATACAACATGGCTAAGATGAGCACGAGGAAAATGTCATCCAGCAACCAGAAGTATTACTAGAACTGTGTGGATTGGTCCGTCCTTTTACAAAGACGACGAAAGCCAAAATGGAAGAACTGCACTTGACTACCATGTAATGTTTCACGCCAGAGAGCATGGGAAATAATGGCCTGATTGAGAGGAGAGTTCGGTAAGCAGTTTATTTCACGTTTGTGGCCGGTCGATTGGTAGCGGAGATATATTGAAGCTCACTGGAAGCGAATGTTAAGGAATTTATTCGTGAGATACAAGCTAATATGTTGGAGAGATTATGCCAAAATCGTTTAACATTAAATTATATCGATCGTGCTATCGAGTCACAGAGAGTTTAAACACATTTTCTTGAATTTTATGTGATTTTTTTGGGAAGAATAATTCCGAAAACTCTTAAAAAAAACAGCTGTTAGATTTTATAGAACCTAAACATAGAATACATTTTCATCAATCAGGAGTGAGTACTCATAGATCTAGCATTGGTAATACTTAAACTACATACAATAGAAAAGTATAGAACTTTTTCATAAAGAACAATTATGAGAAGCCTAAAAACTAATCGTTTCTAAACTAGAAATGAAGAATAGAGAAGTTATGTAAAAGAATTAGATGAGTAAGAAAGATTTATGTGAAAATAGTAACGTGTACACGAGATATTTACTATTCGATAGTGGTATTGGCTTAGTCTAGGAAATTCAAAGATCCCTTGGAAAATTTGCAAATTTAAGTCAAAGAACAATGGGCTAACACAGAGTTGCTTACAATCTGTGGTAAATAAATGTGTATATGTACATACTTAGCTTTGCGTATAGAATATTTTTCATCTCGTAGCATATTCTTTGCATATGTTTTGTTGTTAGAATACCGTGCAATCCGTGTACCTTAGCATGCATTTTCTAGACTAAGCGAATACCTTTAATATTATTTTCCAGACAAAATTCTTGTGTGCAATGGACGAATACAAAGGACGAGTAGTTGTGCTGAACTGTACACGTTGTACCCGAACAGTTTCGAGTGAGTTTCGCAAATGATGAGTCTATTGTTGTAAATACATTAATTATGCCATTTGTATATCCTGTTGAGGATATATGTATGTACATAAATGATGTATGTTTGTAAGTATAGCTGTATATTGTGTTATGTGTTACATCACTATTGTAACGAGTTACTTGAAGTTGCAAACATTTACAACACGTACGCAACGCAATCAACGAGTCAATATTAACGAATCAACGACTTAACGAGTGAACCAATTAACGAGTAGAGCTTTGCCTTGGCTTTATGTGTCGTTTATTAAGTATTTTATTTAATTAGTAAAAAAAAAATCATAAGACAGTAGAAACAACGCAACGATGGTAAATAGCAAACTCGGAAAGAAATGTGCATTTGGAAATTTTGCTTGTTATGAATGAAGATCAGATTATAAAGTAATGTATAGTAGTACATACATATATGTAGTAATTATAGAAATTTTCCAACTCCAATTATTAAAGGTATAGAATTTTCAACTAATTTTCAAACCAGTGTATACACACATTTCTCTACGTGTTTAGTTAATTAAATTAAAAAAACAAAAAAATAAAAATAGAAAAAGAACTAGCGCATTAATAGGTTAATTTTAAAAATTCCATACTTTGTACAAAAATCAAAAGAAGAAAATTAAAATGATTAGTACTCTCATTTAATTACAATTTGCTGGCGTTTTTTGTTTAATATTAAATTTTTAACAGAACAAAAAAAAACAGGAAAATTTTTTTAATTGACTACTTTTGCACTTACATGGAAAACAATTGTCCGCCATTGCATTTTTCACACAAATCAAAATAACTGATTTGGCAACGGTTATTTAATTTTTTTAATTTACAATTATTCGATGTTGTTGTGTTGAAGATGAGTAGTTGAACATAAAAAGGTAAATAAAATAAAATGTAAATAAATAATTTGATTATCGCCATCAATTCAACGGAAAATTTTTATTTCGCCTTCGATTCAATTTGGATAAAATAAAATTATATACATATAATTTTAATACAAATAATATAATATTTATGCCGCAACGATTTTTGCTAAATAAATTTCAATAATTTCCCAAATCCTCCGAGTCTGATTACTGGTTTAGTAAACAAAAGTCGCGAGATTTGTTTTTCAACTTATTTATGGAGACGCCACAGTTTATTCTCTTGTAAACACAGCTTACTCCGCTTTACACTACACCGATATTGTGACTATCGAGTACCAAACTTAACTGAAACCGCTCATAACAATTTCTCGCACACATCTCTGAAAAGTTCCTTTTTGATTGGTCTCCATAACGAACATTCGATACCCGCGCTCTAGAACAAGTTAATTAAATATCGACCTCTCACCCTTCTCACCTTACATTCGTATTCGGCATTTTCGGCACAATACAGATGCCCACACTGCAAGCGATCGTAAATTTATGACTTCCCCAAAGAAAAGTGAATAATTTGGATGAAAAAGAGTAGCTCTACTGTTTAGTTCTGGGACTACTATATGATGATTCACATAAAAGTTTAGATTCGTATTACTTCGTAGGATTGACGCTTTTAAACCGCTCTTCAACCTCCTCTTTCAACCAATCAATCAACCGAGCACGCGTGGGAAATAGCTTAGGCGATGTAGTCGAGAGAGAGATTCTAAGATCAACGCATAAGCTTGTAATTAGAAATTAGAGCGTTCTTAATTTATCGCTGTCAACTGTTCAACGCATTTTACATAGATCATAGACCATGAAATTAGCTTATATGAAGGTTCGGTTAACTAAACACCGCGACACTGGAGACAGGTGAATAATTTCATATTAAGGGACTTAAAATCTTGTATTGTTTCCTTTTAAATTGATATTTTCTGTAGAAAGAGATTCAACTTTGATAGAACAGACGATTTCAAGCTCAGCTTTTTTAAAAACTCATTTTCGGTGGTTGTTCATTTCATAGAACTTTGAGAAATACCGCTTATACGAAGTTTGAGAAATACATACATGATGCATAGATTGCAGAGTCTCTTTTATTGGTTTTTTTGGAAAATCAAGCACAGACCCTCAAATCAGCCGAAGATGAACACTACTACGTAACCTTCAACCTGAGTTTAATATTATGGATAATGTATGGGTCTACTTAGTCCGTAGTTTTTGTGGAAGTTACACTCCATACTCCGCGAAAGAGCAGTTCAAACAAACCCTAATTCGATATTAGAAGACTCTGAGTTAACAACAACTTTGATTTTGGTTTCGCGAATACCATATTCGAAACGGAAGAGTTCTTGGTAAAAAAAATCTCTTTATTGGAGCTGGTCTTGACTAGGTCTTTCATGGCAATCAACTAATTATTGCACTCTCTGACCTTTGTTTTTATTTGTAAAAAAAGGAAGTAGTTCGAAAGAAATTTTTAAAGAGATATCATCGTTTCTTCAGGACTCTGCCCCTTCATATACGATGCTGCAAAAATGGGCTCAGCTGTTTTAACAA